AATATTTGGTTGTTACAAAGAATTGAATTAATTTCATCCTTTCTTCATTCCTTAGATTCTTATTCGATCTAACCAAATAGTATTTGGTATCATCTTCTTACTTCTATCCTAAATTCAGTTTCGAAAATTAATCATCGTGAATAAATTATTTTAATATCATTCTTTTCATTATCATTTAACTCTCTTATTTAATAGGCCACAGCTTATTTTTCATAGTTTCTTTCTCTAAACTTTTAAATTGATGATCATTATAAAACAACTCTAACATTGCCAATCAATAAAAAAAACTATTCAAAATATTATACCTTAATCTATGTACCTCAATTAGTTGTTACTTAATATTATTGCTCAATATGAAAATTGATTATTCATAGTTCTAAATTATGAATTTACTATTAACAAAATTGATCAAAATTTTTTTAACTTTTTTATAACTAATATTCAAGATTAAAATATTAGAAATCCAATTTAAATTCTCTTAATAAGACCCTAAATACCAAAAATTTGATAGAAATTAACATAACAAAAATAATAATAATTTTAGAATAAGTAAAAAGTGAGAAGTTAAATTATAAAATTATAATCAGTTATAATTTTCTTCATTAAAAGTTAAGGATGATTAGATGAAAGGAAATACAATTCAAAAGTAACAATTATTGCAAGATATTTTGAAATTTTTTATTATTAATAATGGATTATATAAGATTATTCCTAAATAATAGGAAATATAGAATTAGAGGGAATAACGTTAAGATATTTATTTAAACAATAAATTGTGAAAGTAAAAAACAATTTGAATCAGTAACATAAAGTATTTCTAAGTTTTAAATATGTTTGATATTGGTAAAATAAATATGAACTTATAAATGACAATCCTCAAGAAGTAAATTTACATAAAAATCTAACATAACTTAACATACTTTTGTGTGGTTTTTACCAACTTAATATCTAAGTTTAAATGATGAAAGTTTAATGGAAATAGAACAGATTTGAAGGATTAAATTCTCCCACAATAATTAAGCTACCTAAATAGAAATAATAAATAAAATTAATCGATTAAAATCAGCGTTAGTGAAGTATACACAGAAAGGAATTAAAGAATCTTAATAGAAGCCAAAAAAAAGAAATTCCCCTTTTACATTAGTCAATGTATTGCTAGCCCATAATGCAGTATAAGTAGAGGGCATTGAAAATTAAATCATATAGTCTTATTTTCTGGAAGAAAGACATAAGAAGATTTCTAAAGTAGAGACAATGAGGATAGGAGAACAATAAGTGATAGAGATAATACAGGAACAAAAAAGATCAAGGGAAAGAAAAGTAATTAGTATGATAGAATATCTTTGTGAAAATATACATGGATTATATTAAGATACAATTACATTTTTTATTGACATGAAACAGGCGCTATGGAATGGTGGGAGAGAAGAATTATAAGACTATAAAGAGAGCGAAATAAGAGAAGAAGCTAAATACCTAGAAACATACATTTAGAGAACAAAATAAACGATAGCAGAAACGGAAGTAGGGATAATAAACGTAGATTAGATTAAAATTAAAGGAGTTGTAGAAATAGATTGGATTTTATGCAGAATAAAGAAAAGATAATTCTTCACTATTCTGAAAAAGAAAAACCATACTTCTCTACATCTCTATCCGATGCAAATAAAAAGAACCTACAAGAATGTTTGTAAACAATAATAATATCATTAAAATTATTCAAAGATTTATATTGAATCCTGTTAAAAAAAAGTTTATTAAATCTAATTTAATCAACAAAATTTGATATAGTTTGCTTTTTTAAATATGGATTATGGCTATAATTACAACCAAATGATTATGATTAATATATTTAATAAGTAAAAATTAATCTAAATCTCTTAGATAGCAGAAATTTGGATTGGAGGAGTGAAAAATTCTTAAAAACTTGTGAATTCAAATAGAACTAGAACAGATTTAAAATTAGAAGTAAAAACACTTTGAATTATAATAAAATTGGTTATCAGGTTCTGAAAGTATATTTAAGTAATTAACATACCAGACATATTTAGGTATTAAGATTAAATGGTTGGAAAGTTTTACGCAAAATATGATATTTTGATGATTCAAATGTATTTCGAGTTAAATTTGATGTATCAGAAATTATTGATTAGGCAAAATCAAAGGATAGTTTTTACATGGATGAGGAAGCTAAAGGTTTGATGCGCTTAATATTAAATATCAAATCAACTTCATTATAAAAATTAAATATTTTTTTTCCATAAATTTGCTCCCCATTTAGAGATTCGATAAGTTTCATTAGCAATAATGAAGTAATTTTACAGAAAAATGAAAACCAATTAAGAAATTGGATTAATTAGAGCATTTCAAATAAACCCAGATGATATCCTACAAACTTATTGGTTTAGTCCTAAAGATATGTTGATATTAGATGAATTTAGAGCAAACTCAGCTATTAAAGAATAATTTAGGCCCTTATCTGTGGAGAAGTAAGACAATTCTTAGATGCTTGTTCTGAATTTCAAATTTTCTAAAATGAAATAATTTTATACCTATTCTATGGACAATTAAATATATTTAAAGATTTAAAATTAACAATTAATTTTCGGCCATTTTAGTACAGCATTATGACACCTTCAAGGACAGAGTGTTAACACTATCTCATAAAGTTTTTCCAATAAGTTTGGTTGAAAGAATGAGAAGATTTTAACTTTATTATTGGCATCAAATTGGGAGTAAAAATTAAACTATTATTTTTAAATTAAACTTGAGATTCAATTCAATTATTGTATCATTAAAATACCTCTTAAATCAGATTGTAGGGTATTAAACAGATAAAAATAGCACAAGATTTTTTCAGAGTTTCAACCATTTTAAGAAAAGTAGTAATTTTATAATTGATCTTTTACCCCAAGTTTGGCATTGTAATTCGACTACAACAGAAATAATAGACTTAAGGGACTCTCAGGCATAGAAGAAAATACCGTTGAAGTAAAGGAATTATAGATTTATAAGTTAATCCTTTTGTAATTATTTAAAAAATTCATCTTTGATAATTATTATTCAAAATTCAATCATTATTCATAGTTTCGTTTTTTGTTTTAACATTATTTATGAGTATATTGGGCTTTGAATATCTAGAATTAGTATAATATTGCTTTTTAATTATTTCATTAATTAAGTCTAATACTCTTCTCACATATGGTTAAGAACAAGAACCCATGATATTTAAAAAAATTCTTTGATATCATATTCATCAATGTAGTAACCTCCTTGCAATGATGAACTTTTTAAACATTTTTTCATTTTATTTTGTTGTGAAGTACAAAAGCTGAGGAATTTTGGTAGTGTATAAGAGAGAATGGAAATACTTTGCGTCTGAAAATTCAGATTATCCACAAATATTTGAACTACTTTAGCTGGTAAAGGAAGATAAATTAAATACTTCATAATAGATAGCTTGATTATAATCAGCTAAGGCTTTCTCTTTTTCGCCTCCGTCATTTTATAGAAAGCCTAATATTAGTTAAAATAATTCACCTCTATAATGGTAGGGCATAGCATATTCAATATCAATTGGCATAATTATAATCAGATTCTTTTTTTCTATTCTCCATATTCTTTGTATATATTGCCTAATATTTATTTAAATAATTCACTTCTGTTTTTTAGACATTCGTGCATTCAGGATTAATTTAGATGGATTTATTATAATCAGTACAATTTTCTCTTTATCACCAGTGTTAGAATATACAATAAATGGCTAATATTAATTAAATTAATTTACCTCTGACTCTATAGGTATTTGCATATTTAGAATTAATTTAGATCGCCTTATTATAATCAGCTAAGGCTTTTTTATTTATTACTAATTATATTGCCTTATCTTAGTAAAATTTATTCACCTTTGTTAATGTAGAGATTTGCCCATTCAAGATTAATTTAGATGGCTAGATTAAAATCAGTTAAAGCTCTTTCTTTTTCATCAATGTCATCGTATAAATGCCTAATATTAATTAAATTAATTCACCTCTGTTATTGTAGGCATTTGCACATTTAGAATCTATGTTTATAGCTATTTCATATTGCTTAAAAGCCTCTTCTTTTCTCCCCTATTCCATTAAAATCCACTAAATACGGTTTTGCAAAATTTGAGTTTGATATTAAGCA